ATAAAGCCTTTTTCCATTTTATTGCTACAGTTCAAATTTATCAATCATTCTCATTTTCTTTATCAATAAACAACCAATAAGCCAATATGTCACTTAGGTCACTCTTAAAGTAAATATTTTCACTTCAGACAACACATCTTTTGTTGTATTTTAAGGAGTTCTCGGTCTGAATAGTTATTTGACTACGAATTGGAATTCAAATAGATACAAAACTTTGGTGTGTGTTAGTAAATAAAATAATGTATATCGTTTGAGCACTTGCTTTGAACTTTATATATGTTATCTCATTTAATTCTTATGATAACTTTTTGAATTCAGTATTATCTCCATTTAACATATCAGGAAACTGCTATTAAGAAAGATTAATTAATTGTCCAAGGTCACTTCACTACACAAGTTCAGAGACAGAGTTCAAATATTTAATCTGTTCCTTTTGTTTTTATGCCACTTGTAAAGAAATTAGGAAGAGTCTAGCAATCGTTGAGGAGAAAAGTCAATTTTAGATTGTAAAGAAGCTTTACTTTCAAAGAAGATAATTTAGCCTCCCACACTCTGAATCTAACACTTTCACCTCTATTTAGACCCATTTCCTTCAGCCACACCCCACTCCACCCACTAAAAACACTGTCTCTAGAATCAAGGTTTCTAACTTCGTATCCCAGTTTTATGGATGGGCTTCATTGGTTCTACAGACCCTGGAAATTCATTATAAAATGTTGTTTGGAAGTATTTGCATTTTTTAAAATTTTTAATTGATAAATTATAATTGTATACATTTATGAGGTATAACAGGATGCTATGATATATATGTATATCATGTAAAATGATTAAATCAAGGTAATTAACATATTCATCACCTCATATACTTAGTAGTTTTTAGGAGAAAAGTCCATGGTTTTTGTCAAGTTTTCGGAGTGGTTGTTATCCCCCACAGAAGTTAAAAGCCACTGCTGTAAGAGCCACTTCACTCACTTGTCAAATGTGGGAATTTCAGCAAAAGGAAAGGAAGGAATATGACATTTCTCTTTGGACTCAATGTCCAATTTTCAAAGCCCACACACATTTCCTGAATCTTTTTCATATTGAGACATACGGCTTGGTGTTTATTTTCACAGTGAGAAAAAATCATTAAATGTTTAGAAATCATATAGGTCTTGATGAAAATTCTCCACACTTAGTTTTTCACATCATTACCAAATGAATATCTCTTACTTCGGCTAAATTCTTCCTGTCTTAATAATTACTATAGCATAGTGCCTAGAGGGTAGGCTTTTAATGAATGGTGTTGATGGAATATTTATCGCTCTCTCTGTAACCCATTTTTCCTACATAGGTGTGGAGAGCTTTTGCTTCTTTTTAAACAATCCTTTCACAAAACATTGTCTAAATTTTGAAAAGGAGAATAATAAAGGTCATTAAGATGATTATAGCATTGTACTATTCAAAAAATAATGCCATACTTCTCTGACTTTCTGAATAATTTCCAAAGAAGAAAAAAATATATAATTTAGGGTTTTGCTTTGCTCTTCCTCTTAGCAAGAGCTATTTAGATTAAGGGATGTGAAAAGCTGACTGAAAGGCTTTCTGTTGCCATCACACTTCTATTACTATTAATTAAAGTGCCTCCGTGTTAGCTTTATTCTTTGTATTAAATCTGAAATGTCAAGAAATAGTCTATTCTGTATGGTTTGTCTTACAATAGCATGTTATGCTGACAGTAATTTGAAACAATAGCAGTGCCTAAGAGTCACATTTCTACAATTTCCATTTCTAACTTATTTCAAGTTAATATCAGGTTTAGAAATGCTACAGAGTTGCTAAGCAACATAGTAAGTAATGATTACAAAGCTAGAGGAAAAAGGTCAACATCAGTGTGTCATATGAGTTCCTCAAAACCCCTTATTCTCAAGCATTAAAAGCTTTCATACAGAATATTCCCCCAAATGATTCTGAAACATAAACTGTCAGCACCTTTCAAGGTAACACGTGAGATTATACTGGACATGTCAGTCTCAGCACCTGTGGGTAATTATTCCCAACAAAGTCCCTGCTGATCCTGTAGCCTCAGGCAGCCATGGTTTATGTCCCAAAGCAGTACATTCGTTGACAGGACAAAGGATTTTAATGCTGCCAGAAAAAAACAACTCCAGCCAATTAGATTCTCTTTCAAATTTGAACCAGAAAATACTGATTTAAAAAAAATGTTTTGCAGTAAAGTCTGAGGGTGAATAAAAATAGAAAGGATATAAGGTGGAGTAGGGGCTGAACAGGTGAGAGCAAGCTGAACATAGGGGGAAGCAGAAACAATGCCTGAACTGAAGCAAAAGTAGAGAAAAGATACAGAAAAGAGAGTTAGACACACAGGCCTGAGTAAGCAGAAAATAGAGCAGTCACTCAGAGATTGTCCCAGTTGAATGAATGACATCAGAGTACCCAAGAATCTCTGCTGCCTGGGAGACAAAACCACCCTTCGGTTGACAGCTCCTTGAGGTTCTTGGAGAGTTCCCCTGAGATGTTATCTCTTTAGGGCTTTACATGCAAATGACCACAGCGCCCCCCACTGTTTGTTACTTGAAATAGCAAGCACTTAACCAAAACGTCACTGAGAAGGAAAACCACCTGCTTCACCACCAAGGAAATCTACTTGAAAACACACCAGTAAAAGGAGAAGTGAGTTATAATGGATGGAATGAAAGCACCCATGCTTCTGTCTTCCATGAAACGATGCTTCTCTGGTCAAAACCAGTTACAGTTCCACAACAAAGCTTTTATTTTGCCTGCTGTTATAGCCTCTTGTTTATGAATGCTGCCCCTAAATGTAAAACAATTGAGAATAAAGCTAATGTTTTAATAATTGTATCCTTAACACCTCTAGCATAGAGGCATAAGGTACAGACTTAAATATTTAATAAATGAATAAATAAAAATTAAAAAGTGGAAAAATAATTACTAGAAAATCTATGCTTCTACTATTAAAATATTTTAGAAGGTTTTAATACATAGGATCTGTCTTAAGTCCATTTTGTGCCACCATAACATAGTATCTGAGACTGGGTAATTTATAAAAAACAGAAATTTATTGGCTCCAGTTCTGGAGGCTGGGAAGTCTAAGGTCAAGGTGCCAGCAGGTTCAGTATCTGGTGAAACCATTATCTTCTTCCAAGATGGCACCTTCCATGCTGCAACCTCCGGAGGAGAGCAAAGTTGGATCCTCACATGGCAGAAGGCAGAAGGGCCAAGAGTGCAAGAGAGGACAAACCAACCTCTGCAAGCCCTTTTTATAATGTCATTAACTCTTCTTGAGGGCAGAGCCCTCATGACCTTAACACCTCCTTTTAGGTCCCACTTCCCAACACTGTCACCTTAAGGATTAAGTTTCCGACACATGAATTCTGCAGGACACATTCAAACCACAGCATTCTGCCCCTGGCCAAATTCATGTGCTTCTTACATGTAAAATACATCCATTCCATTCTGACAGCTTCCAAAATCTCAGCTCATTTCAGCATCAATTTTAAAGTTTAAATCCAAAGTCTTATCTACAGATCACATGAGTAACTCAAGGTACAATTCATTCTGAGGCAAATTCCACTCCAGCTGTGAGCCTGTGAGATCAAAACAAGTTACATGCTTCCAAAATACAACAGCGGAACAGACATAAGACAGATATTTCCATTCCAAAAGGTAGAAATAGGCAAGATGAAAAAAGTAACATCCCAAGTAAATCCAAAACCCAACAGGGCAAAGAACACTAAATCCTAAGTCTTGGGAATAACCTTCTTTGGCCCACCTTCCAGACACACTGGGGCATGGGCTGGACCCCCAATGTCTCAGACAGCCCTGCCCCAGTGGCTTTGCTGAGCTCAGCCCAGCCAACAGCTCTTATGGGTTGGAGTCTTGTGCCTGCAGCTCTCCCAGGCTAGTCTTACACACTGGTGGACGCACAGTTCTGGGGTCTTGGGAAAGGCTCCAACCCCACTGTTACGTTGACCATTACCCTAGTGGGGATGTTCTGTGGTGGGTCAGTTCCTCTATCAGGTCTCTGAAGTATCCTTTGAAATCTAGGTGGAGGCATCCATGCCTCCATAGCTTGAGTATTTTGTGCATCTGCGAAATTAGCAACACGAGGACACTGCCAAAGTTTACAACTTGTACCTTCCAGAGCTGCATCTGGGCCTGCTAGGGCCACATCTGGGTCAGTGGAAGAGCACTGCACCATAATGCAGGAAGCAGACACAAGACTTTGCAGGACAGTTAATGCTGCGATCCAAGGGTGCCCTGGGCCCCTCTTTTGAAATCTTTCTGCCCTCAAGGCCCTCGCACTCTGAGCCTGTGATGAGAGTGTAGCATCCTCCATGATCTCTAAAATGCCTTCAGGGTCATTTTCCTATTTACTTGATGAATAGCACCTGACTTCCTTCTATCCCTATTACTCTCCTTTTCACAAGGTCACTTGATGAACTGTTGGTTTTCTCTCTTAAGCGTGTCTTTTCCTTCTTTACATGAACAGGCTGTGAATTTTCCAAATCTTTACATTCTGCCTTCCTTTGAATTATGAATTCTGTCTTAAATCATTATTTCCTCTTGCATTTTACTATATATAGCTCCTTCAATATTTTCCTTATAAATTTCTTTCTTCTACCAGATATCCTAGTTCATTGCTCTTAAATTCTGCCTTCCATAAAGCTGTAGGACACAACATAATTCAGTCAAATTCTTTGCCACTTTATAACAAGGATGGCTTTATTCCAATTTCCAACACCCTGTTCCTCATAGCCATTTGAGACCTCATCATTGCCTTTACTATCCATATTTT